TATATATATAGACACATACACACATAGGACTTTGCGTAGTATATGGCCATGCGGATGCATTTGCAATTATTTGCATTTGTATGTGGCATGTCCAAACCGCCTAACCTTAGTGCATGGAAGGGTCGGAGCATCCTCAACCTCCGCAAGAAAGGAAGGTCAAACCACAACGAACCTTGCTGCAATCTTGTAGCATCTCTCAGCTCGGCGTAGGCGCCCGCCACAGAGCCGCGCGAGCGCAAACGCACCAGAGGCTTGGATGTGGAAGTGCATTGAAATGTGTGTGTGTGTGTGTGTGNNGGGGGGGGGGGCGGGGAGTTGCTTGGACTTGGGGTGTCCGTTGTCTGATTGTCTAGGGTGTTCCGTACATGAAAATCTGACTATTTAGGCTCAGTATTGAGGCCTCATCTGTTCTGTTGTTTTCATGTTCGGATTCCAGGGCTTCACAAAGCTATGGTCACAGATATGTGCAATTGCAGTGAAGTTTAAGCTCTGAGGACTTAGAGGTTTAGGGTTTAAATTTTCTTTCCTGGTTTGGGTCAAGATTTCCCTTTAGGGCTGCAGGATCTCTTGCATACGAATGCAATGGTTTTTAGGATGCGAGGCGCAAGAGTTTGGCTTTACAGGGTTCATGGTTTACAATAATCACTCATAAATTTGGAGCCGTAGCGTTTTATTGTTGCTTGCCTGTTGTGTGTGTGTGTGTTGAGGGTGTGGGTATTCATTCTGGGGATCAGGGCCTGACTTTTCTAGCGGCTCTGCAAAAGGTTTTGTGCCTCAAGAGCTCAATTCTGGCTCCAGTCTCTCGTGATTCGGGGACTGTGGTGTGAAGTTACTTGGTTAGTGCCACGGAGACATCCTGGAGGGTTGAGTGCTTGAAGGGCATCTTGTCCAAAACCACGGTCGAACTGTTCCGGCAGGGGAGGCCACTGACAAGCATGGGGGAGAAGAAAGTCTTCGGCAGCTCATTCGGGCAGCTTTGGACGAGGCGCAAAAGCTCGTTGACACGCTGATGAGGCTTCGTGACAGATCTGCACACTAGAGGGCAGGAGCCCATGTGCTAGAAATCTCGGAAGACGCACTTACTTCTCTGACGCAGCATGGCGGTCAACTTGTAAGAGCGGCCAGGGTCACTGCCAGGCCGACTGAAGAGTCAACCAATCTGCCCGCCGGCCCGAGCCGCCTGTGAGGAGTTGGATGCCTTTGTCAGTCCAGCTCTGGACAAGGTGCGCAGCCTGCCTGATGCCTGTGAGCTTATGGACATGTCTGAAAGTCTGAGCAAATCCCGAAGCACTTTGCACATCTCCACAACTTGGCTCGATAGGTGCGAGGCAGCGAGAAGAACAAAGAGCCAGATCCACGAGGCAGCGCTGCCACTCGATATGTTTTCAGGATGTCAAAAATTGTGGCGCTGAGGCGACTTGAGCTAAAGCCTCCAGAGTGAGCTCTTCGTGTGTTTTACAGCCTCTATGTCGAAAAATGCCGGCAGGTGCTCTGCGTGACCTTGTTGCACAAGTGCAGGGCCTCGCGGACGTCAGGCACTTCGGAGTGAACTTCTGCTGTCGCTGCATGGCTCGGCCTGCTTGCTCGGCTCGGAACCTGCCCACCTTCTCGTGTTGTGCACGGAGGGCGATTTGCTTCAGCGATTCTCCAGAATTTGGGCACTCCGAAGTATCAACAACTCGTTCCGACAGCTTGCAAACGTGCTCCTTTGGCTGGGCTTCGCCGCAGATCTCCTGCGACACAAAACAACGAAGCATTTCGCCGAGAGGGCAAAGACTGCGCCAGCCTAGGGGGCAAAGTGACAAAGCCTCAAAGGACCGGGGCAAGGTTCGCTGGATCCGCGTTGAGCTCAAGGACGGCAATTCAGACGCCTAGCGGTCAGACGGCGTCGACACCGGCAGACATGATCATGGATCGTGAAATCGCCCTGAACCCACACGCCTGAGACCCTTTCGCCAAACAGGCGTTTCGTTGACGAGCAGTTGGCCGCGGATTTGGGTTCACGCTGGGACCTCGGACATGTCGAGAAGAAGAGTGTCGGTCGAGTTCGGTGGCCGATTGCATCAGTCTTAGTTTTGTGACACGATGGACTGTGGGAGCTCGTCCCACGTCCTCCGGCAATGCTGCACGTGCACATAAAAAATGGGTCTGCTGGAGTCGGCTACCTGATTCCCCTTGCGAGGCGTTCGGGCTTGCTGTGCTGCTTCCAAGGGGCGGATGGCAGCAGCGGCAGCTCCGACCCGTCAGGCGAATTTGGGGGGGCGTCCTTTCCAGGTCCTTTCTCATGCGCGCAAGTGGGCTGATATTGGGTGCCTGCTGGCCTGGACATTGGAAATGCCCAAACAACTGAGAAAAGGGTTCGGAATTCGATCAAGAAAGGATTCAGGATCAAAAAGGATCGATGGGAATTGAAAACAGAAAGAAATCAAACAAAACAACCCTCGGAACTGAATCAAGTAAGGGCCTAGAGCTACAGGCCCTCGTCGAATTTGACTCCCTTGTATGTCCACTCCTGAGGTTAAGGGTTGCAGGCTTGTTATAGGTAGGCTTTGGGAAGCAGGCCCGAAACAGGGTCGGAGACGGAGGCAATGGTTGGGAAGGAGGCTCGGGGCAAGTGGGGTTTGGGGCGGACGGCCATTTTGCTGCACTTGATATGGCAAGGTATATGGGGGGGGGGGGAGCAATTTTGGAGCTGTGTTTTATTGCTATGTTTCCCTATGTTATCTTGTTGTGGCTTAAAAGTAGAAAAATAAACTAAAAATCTAGGATGAATTTTCTGCCCTCCCAGAGACGGTGGGCCCCAAAATAGAAAATAACATAGCTCTCCTTGAGCGCCCCAAATAGGAAAAGCTGAGTCTCCAGATTAAGTCCGACTCGTGTCCTCAGAAAAGCAGTGCCACAGCAGCCCAAACCCGAATTCAGCCACGGAAGTATGCAGCGGCACGACATGAAAACTCGGCAGTTATGCACGAAATCATGTTGCACATGGCATTTAGAAACAAATTGAGATGTGAACTATTTTGCATACCTAGGCCTACCTGTGTTTCTGCTGCTCCCAAGGCTATGTTGAACCTGTTTCAATAACCTAGAGCTTCCAATTCCTCTCCTGTTCTATTTTAATACCTATTCGTTTTCGTCCTGAAATCCCAGTGATAGCCACACCTCACGTTCATACTTCCTAGAGGTTTCACAAGAGATGGTGTCTGTCAACCTGCAGTAGCCAAAGGGATGCCGATGAACCTTGCAGTCGCAAGTTTCCTGCATGCGAAGCAAGTTCTTCGGCTCCTAGCCCTCCACTGTCATGAGCTCCAGACTTCCACGCCCTTTCTAAGATCAAGCCCCAGAACATGTCTTCGACATCCAGGAGTCAGACCCAGTCTAAACGACCATCATGGCGGGCAGCGCACCACCAGTACTGCCAAGCTCCTTCACGACTACTCAGCTAAATACTCTAGTTTGTGGAATCATTTTCTCATTCTCATGTTTCGCTCGCTGATTTAGACAAATTCTTCGCCGTTAGTTTTGCTGCAGAGCTCGGCAATAACAGCCTTCGAAGCACAGGCTACCTCGCAGCGCCTGCCACTGGCATCCTCCTCGGCTGTCTCGGGATAGTCAGAGACTCCAACATCTCTCAATTAAAGCGACAGCTCCCACAGGCTACCAAAACATAGTGACGATGACGATGGTGATGATGACGCTGGTGATGGTGATGGTGTTGTTGATGTTGGTCCTTGATGCCGGCCTTGTGGCGTGATCATAAGAATCATGGTGGTCATGCTGGTGATCCTCATGATCATGACAGTACTTTGTGAGTGCGGTTTCTGCCCACGCCGGAAAAATCTTGGGATATTTCATGCTGTTCGACTCGACATTCAGAACACGAATTCCCGAACCCTGATGACGCCCGGCTTCGCTGTGCATCCGATGTGAAGGGCACACGTGCTCGAAACCCGTTGGCGGCCAGAGCATAAGCAAAAACGTTCTTGTGCACCCAGCCTTTTACAGACAGCCTTCCAACCTACCAACCTTACATTCCCCAGCACATTTTGCCCAAACCTTTTCGTTCCTCGCCTTCATTGTCTCAACGAAGTGTCCTGTATTGACTGATCAACTTCAGGGCCTATGTTGACAGCTCGAGCCTTGTAGGGACACATACAGTGACATACAGTGGTCCGAAATACTACTGCGTGGTTGCGACTGCGAAAAGGCTTGGGCAATGTCTGTGCTCGTAGATGGTCCTTTGCATTGCGGGATTGCCAATACAAAGGCCGCGGCCTCGGTCCCGCCACCGTCGCGGCCGATGCCCACCCCGACGGCCATCACCTCAAGTCAGGCGCCTCATTGGAAATAGTGATAAGCGAGCAGCCGCAGCATAGTCATCTTTATTTGACGACGCATGGCATGCCAGAGCCCGCCAATTGTCCTGGGATCAGTGGTATCGTGATGGGACTCTGTTTTGATTTCCTGGCTCCTGACATTGTGTGACCTCTAGTCTCCGAGCCCATACATTGAACCTAGAGTTTGAACCCTCAGCCCTTAAAACTTGAGCAGGCATCCGGGCGCTCGGCCTCGACCTGAGCAGAAGTCTTCGTTATGTGGTCACATCAGCCCAACCGATGTAAGACTAGGTTACATCACATTGTGGGGAATTGCCGCCACCACCACCACCAACAACAACATCACATCACCATCACCAGAAGCACCAGCAGTATCATCGTCATCATCGCGGCAGTGGTTGTGGCGGTGGCAGTGATGGCTAACGTTGTGATATTAGTAGTTGTAGTTAGTAGTACTAGGACATTTCGCCGGAAATCGAGAACCGTTGTTTCACTTCGTCATATTTGGTAATTAATCTTGATGGGATGCAAATGGGGGGCAAGCTGACGGACATCTAGGTAACCTTGCACCGCTTGCACCACTGGCACCAACTTGCACCACTTGCACCACTCACACACCAAGATTACTGAAATTACATGTCATCTTGCTCGGCCACCGCCCGACTCAGATGACCAAGATTATCGTAATCGTGCCTGGCATGACGGTTCCAGTTTCCTGGCACACTGTACCAGTACCAGCACCAGCACCAGCACTAGTGCTAGTGCTAGTGCTAGTGCTGCTGTGGTGCTAGTACTAGTACTAGCAGCAGCAGGAGTAGTAGTACAGCAGTACAGCGCTACGCAGACTAGCAGTAGCAGTGGCAGTAGCGTAGCAGTAGCAGTAGCAGTAGGAGTAGCAGTAGCAGTAGCAGTAGCAGTAGCAGTAGCAGTAGCAGTAGGAGTAGCGGTAGCAGTAGCAGTAGCAGTAGCAGTAGCAGTAGCAGTAGCAGTAGCACTAGCAGTAGCAGCAGTAGCAGTAGTAGTAGTAGTAGTAGTAGGAGTAGTAGTAGTAGTAGTAGTAGTAGTAG